ACTGCTGTGTTCGACTCGTTTATATATCGAGCTCAAAAAATTTATTTGTGTTTGGTTTGCTTGCTTGTTGAGCGGAACACCAACTATTCACGAATAATTAGCTACTTTGATAACCCTAATTACACAATCATAGAATGATAAGAGTTGGGCGATATTTAAATATTGTTATTTATATTAAAATATTCATTTAAGTAAAATTTAATATAATTTTATTCTATTATTAATTATTAATTTCAATTAATCATAAATCTTTGTAGGGTTATAATCAATTAAATTATTTAATGTTCATATACTATTTATTCATGTATAGAGCACAAAAAAATTATTCATATCAATTGGTTTACTTAACTAACGAATCCGACGTTCGTTTCAACATCCTGCATGATCGAAGTCATCGGACGGTCGGTCATTCATTTCTTCCTCCCCAATACAATATGCCCACTTAAAGCCACAGAGATCGGCGCGTCGTCTAACCCCTAAACCCTCTCCCGTTCGTCGGCGGCTCCGCCAGTTTACATCCGCTTTGTTTTCTTTCCTAATTCTGTAAGCGGTTAGATCTTCTTGTTGCTGTAAACTGGACTGCGAGTTCATCGTCTGTGAATTTAAGTGATTTCAGGGGGTTTTACGAAGCAAGCAGAGATGAACTTTAATAATGCTAGGGTTCCGAACGCTGGAGCGGCGTCAACTCTCGTAAAAGTTGCGCTCATTGGAGGCGCTGGTGTCTACGCCGCTCTCAACAGCCTCTACAACGTCGATGGTGGTCACCGGGCCATCGTTTTCAACCGCATTCACGGAATCAAAGACAAGGTATCTGATGCATTTAATTTTAGATTGAGTGCTTGCTGCGTGCTATCATATTGGATACCAGCTTATTTACATGCATCATATTTTGATTGCTCGGAAGTTTTGTTTTTTTTGATACGTTGAAGTCCGTTCTTGGTGCTCGGTGATCGCTATCGACGTTGTGGAGGCTGTTGAGAGCGGGAACTACTGAGAATTGAGTTGTTATCGGTCCAGTTGGAGCAAGCCCGTATTGATGAGTTGTTATCGGTCCATAGAACAAAATAATAATAATAATAATAATAATAAGGCCAATTTAACTAGAATTTTACTTGAGTTTGAATTGCAGTCTTAGTTGAGCGAACTTAACTAAACCAATTGATTTTGAGACAACATGAATTAATTTAAGTTGATTCTAAACCATTAATGTATACTTTTAATGATATAATTTTCAATCAAACTTGGCCTGAAATTAGCAACACCTAAAATAATGTTTTTCTTGATTTCACGAAAATATTTAATATTTTAATAGAAATAAGTATTTTGAACAAAAAAAACTAGCATAGAATTGGGTTTCCGTTTTATACTTTGCATATTAAAATTGGCACCCCAGCTTGATCTCTTCTACAATTTGAGGGAAAGTTGGTGTAACTGTAATACCCAAATCCCAATAGAGTGATTCCTTTAGGCTAGGAAATTCATTTTAATGTAATGAGTGATTTTTTTCCCTTAGTTTCAAACTTAAATGTGCTTGCAATGGAGCACTCAGGATGGACGAGCATCAGTGAAGTTAGACGAAAAAGGATAAAGTCTCAAATTTCTTCTAATATTTGACAGGGTGGGCTAAAACGAGCAATAATTTATATAGTATGCCAAGGATCATTATAATTGATATCAGAGCATGACCTCCTTTAGTATAGCATGTGATTTAGGGACCAACCAAACAAAAGCTAGTGCTTATAATAGCGTAATTAAAGGAGGATGCTTCTCTTGGCAAAAAGCCATCTTTGATACCTTTCGAATGTTTTCGTTATGGCTGGGATGGGTGACCTCATGGGATCTTACATGGAAAATATAAATCGTGAGTTTCAATTCGGTCTTGGGTGGAGTGGGTCAGAGTGAAGAAAACATTGCATACTATGCCCTATTCTTTTATATATGATTTTAAAACCTAAACTTATTCTAATATAGTGTTTGTAATACCCACCCGAAATCGAAAATTTTGTCTTGTCTTGGCAAGATGTGATTGCAAAGTTTAAGGCTCAGACAATGAGCGGTTCCTGATAGACTCGTTTGGGTCGAAAATTTCTAAGAGATAAGCAAGATGTGAACAAACTTATTCTCACATTTGAAATGGTGGAAATGGTATTGGGCTATATAAGTAATAAGTTATGACATAACACAAAACGGTCTTTTGATGTAATGAGTTGATTTCTCTTTGGAAGTTAACATTTATACATGTTTGTAAAGAAGCATTCCTAAGATGTGTAAAATCCAATGAAGTTACATGAATGAAGATAAACTTGGGAATTTCAGCTTGGTATCTATTGAGCGAGCTTGGTCAAAGCCAACAATGCTTTGTATTGTATGGCTTGTGGTGTTATAAAGACAGGCTTAACGTGTGAAGAAAAAACAAAAGAACACATTAGATAAGGTCATAATCGGCATTTTTTTAATGTGAAAAGTTGTTCTTTGTCATCTATTTTGAGCATTTTTATTGTGAATTTTATAAGTTTCTTTCATTTTATTGTCTATCTTGACTTGATTCTGAGATGTGATTTACACTTTTTTTTTTGTCTTAATGGATCACTATCTTAGGTTCTGGCATCAATACTCATGGCTTGACTTGTTGAGGAGGTGCTTTAGTAAAATATGTTGGATAAAACAAAACAATATTATTTTTGACTCCTTACATTTTATTACTTTAAAAAGTGCAGTTGCATGTAGTCGTGTGCGGACATCCATCTATGTGCGGATGTGGATGGTTGCGGGGTTTGAGTGTATAGTTGCATGTAGTCGTGTGCGGACATCCATCTATGTTCGGATGTGGATGTGGATGTGGGAGGTTGTATGTGTCTTGTTGCGGGGTTTGAGTGTATTTGTAGTTTTCTCCTTGAGTTCTCTTTGTGTGCACACTCAAGGGGTTGTTTTTGTGCTTGTCATGTGTTTCTGTGTTTGCATATTTTCTTATATTCTTGCATGGCTTCATAATCTAGTTACGTCAGCATCCTATTTTTGGAAGGTCCTAGATTATTCTTATGTTATCATATATGTAATCACATTTTGATTCATTCTTCATTGGCCTCGAGAAGATAAGATGTACATACTATGCTTTTAAGAGATACATACAAACTGTATTGTCACTTCATTCTATCCTGCAAGCGGATCTGTTGGATGTTTGTGGTAGGAGAACACTGCGATTGTCCAATAAATCACAGGATGGAAAGAAAACCATTATTCCGATTGAGGGCTTTTTGGGAAGCAAATTCATTTGGTCATTTTTGTGTTTTTAAATGTATTTGCATTTCTTTGTGGGTTGTGAGCAAATGATCTGTTGGGCTGATCAAATAGCTTTTGGTGTTTTGATTTTACTTGTATAATTGTATCTTAGTTCTGAAATCTTTCTTTATTTTCTTATGACAATTTTTTTCTACAGGTTTATCCTGAGGGAACTCATTTGATCATCCCTTGGTTTGAGAGGCCAATCATTTATGATGTTCGTGCTCGCCCACACCTTGTCGAGAGTACTTCTGGTAGTCGTGATCTTCAGATGGTGTGTTTTGAAATTATCTACTTGAACGCTGTAGTCATACAACATTGCATCCAACTTACATATTTTGAAAATCTTCTCACCGTTAGAACATGAATTCTTTTCTAACTTCTTAATTTATAGCATGAATGATTACCGAATAGTATAATAGGGCAAGAAATGCAGCAAGTCATCATGAAATATACAATCATGTTATTATTATGGATTTTAACCCGAGAACTTTTCTAACTTCTTAATCTCTTCCTAAATCTTTTTATTACTCATATAACATACAAATGTTTTAAATTCTTCGAACGTGAAAGTACCATCTTGTTATCCACATGTTACTATATATAACTGTGGTTTGTTTATACTTTTACTATGTGAAACTCTTGGCATTTTCCTGCTAAAATTAATGTATTAAAGTGCAAATCAAAATGGATAAAACTGAGAATATGCGAAGTTGAGTGCTACAAAGGAAGTCAAAGCTTGTCCACTTTTCACTATACGACAACAACAACACAATAAGCCTTTATCCCACTAAGTGGGGTCGGCTACATTAATCCTTTTTCTCCATTGCGTCCTATTGAGTGTCATATTTTCATTTAATTCTAATAAATTAAGATCATTTTTTATATAATAGCCCAAGTCTTTCTAGGTCTACCTCTGCCTCTCTTAACATAAGTCAAATCTAAAACATCTGCTCTCTTAATCAGATCATCAGATGGTCAACTTTTAAAGTTACCAAACCATCTACGATGACTCTCTCCAATTTTGTCTGCCGGAACCATCTAAGATGACTCTCTCCAATTTTGTCTGCCGCTAGAGCTACACCAACCCTATCATGGATATATTTATTTCACATTTTGTCTCTAAGTGTAAATCCACTCATCCACTTATGTATTCTCATCTCGACAACACTTAACTTAGTTTTATGCTTCTCTTTTAAAGGCCAACATTCTATGCCATAGAGCATTGCAGGTTTCACCACCATCTTATAAAATTTTTCTTTCTGTCTAAGAAGTACTTTCCTATCACACAATATGCTCGAAGCATTTCTCCACTTGAATTAACCAACTAGAATTCTACTAATAACATCCTCATTTATATCACCATCACTTCGAACAATAAACCCGAGATATCTAAAGCTTTCACACCTTTTAATGATTTGATCACCCATAGTTACAACTCTGCCACTAGAGCTATCACTACTAAAATTACATTTTATGTATTCAGTTGTAGTTCTACTCAAACAAAGGCCTTTAGACTCCAATGTAGACCTCCATAATTTAAGTTTTTTCTAAGCTCTTTCTCTAGTCTTATCCACAAGAAGGATATCATCAGCGAAAGCATACACACCAAGGTATATCTTCCTGTAAATAAATGTCAGTAAGAGCATCCATAAATAAAGCAAAAAGATTTGGGCTTAAGGCTGATCCCTAATGTAATCCAACTCAAATAAGAAAATATTTGGTCAATTCTCCTTCTGTTTGAACACAAGTAACATCTCTAGTATACATGTCTTTAATGACTTCAATATAAATCATATCAACACCTTTTTTCTCTAAAACTCTCCAAAGGATATCACTTGGAACCTTATGGTAAGCTTTTTTTAAATAAATACAAATCATATGTAGATCCTCCTTAGTCTCTCAGTACTTCTTTATCAAACCTCTCAATAAATGTATAGCTTCCAAGTATACTTGCCCGACATAAATCCAAACTGTTTATAAGAAACCTTTGTAATACGTCTTAACGTATGTTCAATTGTCCTCTCCCATAATTTTAAAATATGACACATCAACTTAATCTCTCTATACTTTGCACAATCTTGTGCATCCCCTTTATCCTTGAAAATGAGGACCAAAATATTCTTCCTCCACTCATACATCTTTTTAGTTTTTAAAATAATATTAAAGAGTTTAGTAAGCCAACAAACTCCCAAATCTCTTAAATATTTCAACACTTCAATTAGGATATCATCAAATCCTGCAAAATTTCCACCATTGCTTTTCTTTAAAGCCTCATCAACTTCTTTTTTACTGATGCGACAGTAAAAATGAAATATTTTGTTATTTTAACGATATTAAAATCATTAAATTTGATCATATTTTTCAGAAACTTCATTGAAAAATTTATCAAAATAACACCCACATGTGTTGAATGTCTTTTTCTAAGATGAACACTTTTTTTATTTTCATCTTTAATACACTTTACTTGAATTAAATATTTACTTTTCTTTTCTTTTTGTTTAACTAACTTATACATATATTTTTCATCGTTTTTAGTATCTAATATATTTTGAAGATCACTAAAAGTAGAATTTTTAGCGTCACATATTGTTCTCTCAGACTCACTATGAGCTATTTTATATTTTTCCGAGTTGTCTAAGATTTTGCATTTAAACCAATTTTTATAACATAATTTCTTATATATTATCTTTTCTTGCACATTATTATTCCGCCACCAATTATTTTTATTTATAGAAATATTTTCTTTTAAAAGTACATCATTTGCTACTTGTTTAATACTGTTTGTTACTTTCTCCAGCATAGAATTTGTTTCTTCTTGAAATCCCAAATATTGAAATCTTGAATTTTACTCATAAAGATAATTTTATTTGACTTTTAGGTGCTCTCATATAATTATATGACAATTATTCCTAGTATTTTTTTATTTTACAACTCTTCATTTTAAAATCTATAACTAATAATCGAGGTTGAGTACTTAAATTATTAGTTGGAATGACTTTACAATCTTTACATTCTTGACAATCTCCTGTCATTAGAAAATAATCAATTTATATTTTTTTGAATCCATTTTTATAATTAATAATATGCTCATATCTTTTCTTAAATAAAATATTAACAACAATAAAATCAGACGCTAAAGTGAAATCTAATATGACTCTATCTTCTTCATAAATGACTCCAAAACCATAGCCACCATAAATATTTTAAAAATCTTCTATCACTTTACCTACATGTTCTTTTAAATTTCCTCAAATAAAAATTTTTTCTTGAGTTATCATTTTTAAAAATTCGATCCAAAATTTTGGCTTGTAGCTTGACTTGTTTATTTCTATTCGATCTCGATCCGTGCCAAAATTCAAATCAATTTTTTGAGCGATTAACGTTCTTCGAGCTAAATTCCCTAAATTCATAACCGTAAGATATTAACGACCTGATTTCGAATCGAGCTGAGGTTGGCTCAAAATCGGTTCAAAATAAATTCGATCCAAAATTTTGGCTCGTAGCTCGGCTCATTTATTTCGATCTGATCGCGATTTGAGCCAAAATTTGAATAAATCTTCGAGATAATTCACATCCCTACTCCAACCTAAATACCAAAATTTAAAATCAAATCAACAATCTCGTTAGCCTTTTTTCCAACCCATTTAGTTTCTTGAGTACATAAGATATTCATCTTTTTATGAACCATAATAGATATTATTTTCATTAATTTACCTGTGATAATTTACATGTGAGCGTCTATATTTTAAGATCTCTATCCTAATATTAGCTTCATGAACTAACTTCTTTACCCTCATCCATCTGTAATGTGAGAACCCTTATTTGACACTCCTCCTAGGCGCCGATGTGTGGATCTTGCAAACTTTTTCACTGTCTTTAGGTCATACAACGTATCGCTTTTAGGGGGCGCCCTAGCATTTACACAAGGCTCAAAAAAATTCATGTCATGATTTTTCAACAAATTTTATGCTGGTTGTCGACTACCTAACACAACCCTCTACTTTTCACATCCGGGGCTTGGGACCCTCCACTTGTCACTATACGACATCCATAAAAATTTTTGTACGATGTTCTGTTCTCATTACTTATCAATGAATCATCATCAGTGCTTGACCATGGAAATTTCGCTGAATTGGAGGAGGGATGGTCCATTGAAGGTATTGGAAGCAATGTTTAAGGACCATGGCAGATTTGATCATCACGTATGGAGGGAGAAGATTGTCAAGTTCCTTTATTAATTCTGTAGTGCCTGAGCCAAATCACCATGCTCAATCTTGCAAGATGTGCTTTCCATCCATCGTCATTATTTCTTTGAGAGGTTTACATAAATACCACAATTCTTCTGTATTTACCCATCTAACCCCCAAAGTTTGAAAGTTACACTTATACATCCCAGTTTCATAAACCTATGCAAGAAAAGTTGTATTTAACTTTAAAAAGGTAATGATGGTGATATTTTTGATATGATATTAAAGATTTGAGTGTTAGGCATGTAAATATGAATATTTAGGTGTTAGATATGTAACTACATAGCAAATGTGTGGTATGTATATAAATGCCCCTATTTCTTTTCCCTAAACATAGAAGTATCTTTATCACAAATCTTGACTACTTCATTGTTTTTAGTAGAGGTTAAGGAGTTAGAAAAGTTAATGCTTGTTGACATTATCATTCGCTCATCAAGTACTCAACTTAAAGTGCACAACATGATGATATTGAACTAGTACAAGATTTTCAGTTTATAATGCTTTCAACAAAAAAAAAACAAATTTTTAATCCAATAACAATAATATACTATTCTTCTAATCCCTTGTTTTAAAATAGACTAGTATTTTTATGACTTTTTAAAATATTAGGGTGTTATAATATGAGTAAATCTGAAGAATTGGACATGTTATGTATAAATAAGAACTAAATGGAGGTAAGAGTATGTATAAAACGTCCTTAAAAGGTTACTTTTTATAAATATGGAATTGAAACTAAGATCTATTTTGGTCGCATCTCATTTGCACTCTAACAAATTTTTAATAGATTTTATTAGTTAGGCCCCTATTCATTTTATTTTTTCTCGCAATCTCCTATGTAGTAACGGGTGATTCTTACATTTTAACAGGAATTACCAAATCTCAAGGTTTCTATTATGTAGTACATTCTTGCTTACCAAAGCGGTGATTTATATATTTTTTAAAATGAAATTAAATATATATTTTAAAATACCTGTTATTATCCAAGCATTATTTTTAAATAAATTGCTTGAGAAAATGAAACAGT